AGAGGGTTGGTTATGTAACCTCGCGGGAGGGAGGTGGCAGGTCCCGGGAGGCTACATGCAGGAGGGATGCCCCTGCTCGCGCCCAGGGCTTTTGATGCCGCGGGGGTCAGGGCCGGACCCCCGATCGGGTTCAAAAGTACCTTAAAGCCTTCTCCTGGATGAAAGGTTATCCCATACAAAATTTGGTTGCAGTAGCTCTTATAGTGTCCATGTTATTAGCGCACAAACTTACAAACATTCTCCTTTATATATTAGATAGGGTGGTACTTGGACAGATGTGGTGGAAGAAAATCAGATTCTCTGTGGGGCACAGGCTGGCAGTTTGGGAGATGGCAGGTGAGGGGTGGGGAGAAGAGGGGCGCTGTCTACGTGGGGCATGGTGACATTTAAGGAGGTGGCGGGGGAAGGGTGGGGAGGAGCGGGATGCTGTCTGTGGGGCACAAAGTGACATTTAAGGAAGTGAGGAGTGGGGAGGAGCAGGGCGCTGTCTGTATGGTGTACAGGCCAGCAGTTGGGGGTGGCAGTGTGTGAAAGAGCTGAACTCTCTCCCCCTTCCTCCTTCTCTTCCCCGCCCCTCCCCCCCCCAAGTGTCTGGCCCGGCGCCAGTTTTAACCATCAACGCCCTTTTCCACTCCCTTTTCAACGCCCTTTTTCCCTGCTCTCCCTGGGTCCATCTGCCCGCCAGTTTGCGTGCCGGCTGAGGCGCACCTGCGCCGTGAGGGGGGTCCTCCGTGTGCTGCCTCTGTGCAAGCACCCCGGGCCCAGAACAGTGGCGGCCTGGCAGCACATTGCCACCGCCGGAGCTAGTACAGGGGGGGAGGAGAGAGTGGAGCCCCTGTCACACCCTCCCACAGTACCTTAAAACCTTCTCCTGGAGGAAAGGTTATCCCATGGACAGTTTGGTTGGTCTTATAGTGTCCAAGTTATTAGAGCGCAAACATACAAACGTTCTGCTTTATATATTAAGGATAAAACAAATAATTCTCCAAACTTAAGTCATGGCAGTGACTTGATCCTGAAAAGATGCATTTTCTCATTTAGTAAGACTTTATATGAATATAAAGTTGAAGGGATTGTTAACATGAGACATTACTTGCCTGCAATGATTTATGCATGTATAGGAGAAAGTGCGGAATTAACTAATTCAGCCCAGTTGCAAAGAGGAATTCTGCTTAAGGAAGTACTGAGAAGGGGTAACCCTCAAAGGAACCAGGAAGAATTCCTGGTCCACAGATAGATAGTTTTCAGGCATAGGAAAGAAGAATCTCCAGAAGGAAGAAGACAGAAACTGTTGGGCTTACTCTGAGTTGATGAACATTCATTGGTATATCTGAGTGAGCTTCTATCTGGGGAGTGAGGATGCTTTGGAGTGACCTCGATACCATTACAACAGGGGTGGGAAACCTTTTTAGAGTCAGGGGCTGCTGACCCACAGAAAAATGGGTCCAGAGCTGCTCATAAGTAAAAAGAAAAAAAAAAAAACCACCCCTCACTGACATGGCTCCCAACTGACATTCCTCCCTCACACCAGAGCCTTGGAGGGTCCAGGCTAGTAGAATTTGTGCACGGACTCCCCAGTGCTGAGAGGGAGCCCCAGGCCTTAGGAGCCAGATCAAGACAAGCTGGATCCAGTCCCCAGGCCTTAGGTTCCCCACCCCTGCATAACATAAGCCACCAAATTGTTCACTCTGCTTGTGTGTAAGACCCTTCCCCCACAATCTCTATCTATCTTGTCTATTTAGACTAAAGTTTTCTGGGTTAGAGACCATTACTCTATGTACAGGGCTTAGCACATAGGACCCTGATCTGTTAATGGCTCTAGGTGCAGGAGGGAGCATATTCTATTTTTATGGTAATTTATAAAGAGAATCCTCGGATATAATACTTTTTTGGGTATCATCATGTAAAATACATATGTACCAAATACATTAAAGGAGAATCATGTTCAGAACTCAGTTTGTCTTTCAGATTTATCTCTAGCTTT